TTGGCACCTCCCGCTCCAGGCCCAGTGCCACCCGAACCATTGGCACCTCCTGCTCCCGTCCTGGTGCTGCCCGACCCGTTGGCACCTCCCGCTCCTTCCTCCACTTCTCCCTGCCTTGGGGCTGTGCGGTGGGTGACCCCCCTGCCCTCCCTGCAGCCCCCGACTATGACAAGAGCCAATGGATCAAGGAGAAGGAGAAGTTGGGACTGGACTTCCCCAACGTAAGTGCCTTGGGGGTGGTGGGGGGGATGCCCCGTGGGGGCGGGGAGCCCCACGGAGGGGTGTCCCCACGTCCCCGTCCCCCGCAGTTGCCCTACTTCATCGACGGCAAGACCAAGCTGACGCAGAGCAACGCGATCCTGCGCTACATCGCCCGCAAGCACAACATGTGTGAGTGCCGGGGCTGCCGGGGGGGCGGCGCCGGGGGCCCCGCGGGGCGCTCACGGGGCCCCCACCCGCAGGTGGGGACACGGAGGAGGAGAAGGTCCGCGTGGACATGCTGGAGAACCAGGTGATGGACTTCCGCATGAGCCTCGTCATGGTCTGCTACAACCCCGAGTTTGTGAGTGCTCTGCGGGGGCCCGTGGCGACAGCGGCGCCGCGAGCGCCTGGGCAGCCGCGCGGAGAGGCCGGCCTCCCCTGGGGAGGACCCGGACGCCCACCCTTTCCCCCGCTTCCTTCCACAGGAGAAGCTGAAGCCGGGGTACCTGGAGCAGCTGCCGGGGAAGCTGAAGCTCTTCTCCAGCTTCCTGGGCGACCGCAAGTGGTTCGTGGGGGACAAGGTAGGGTGCAGCCCCGGGGGGGGGTGCGGGGGGGCACCCGCAGCCCTGCTCACCGCCCGCTCCTCCCCAGCTCACCTTCGTGGACTTCCTCATGTTCGACGTGCTCGACCAGAACCGCATCTTTGAGCCCAAGTGCCTGGAGCCCTTCAAGAACCTGCAGGACTTCATGGAGCGCTTTGGGGTGAGCGCGGGGGCCGAGGGACACCCGCGGGGGCCGAGGGACACCCGCGGCCCTCCCCGAGGACACGCACGAGGGCCTGGGCGCCACAAGTGCCACGTGTGCTCCCCTTTTCCCCCCGCAGGCCCTGGAGAAGGTGGCCGCCTACATGAAGTCCAGCCGCTTCACCAAGATGCCCATCAACAACAAGATGGCCAAGTGGGGCGGCAAGAAGGAGTAGGGGCGCAGCGTGGGGTGAGACGAGCTGGCGCAGCCTCAGCGCGGCCTTGATGTCCCCCCCGCCGCCGGCCGTAGCGGGGAGAGGTGACACCCTCTCCTGCCCGAGTAGCCCCCCCAGAAGTAATAAAGTGTCTTAGATGGAGCAGCCTCTGTCCCTCGCCGAGAGCCTCGCRGGGGGAGCGTGGGGATGAGCCCTGGCACCCAAGGGTGCCCTGATGCCCCTTGAGGGGGCACTGGGGGCTGGAYGGCACCAAGCCCAGCTGGGGCGCCGGGGGAGGCCGCAGTCCCCTCCCCGTGCCCGCTCATTAGCGCATTCCTGCTCGCTAACGAGGCGGAGCAGGCCAAAGAGCTGCTGGGTGGCCGGGTGCTCCGGGTGGACAGAGCCCAGGGCGGGAGGCCAGGGACAGACCGTGATGTCCCGGGAGCCGCGGGTGCCCTGGGGGGGCTGCTGGGGAGGGGGACCCGGAGGTGACGCTGGGGCTGGCCTGGGTGGCCCCCACCACGAGCGTGTGCAGAYCCTGGTGCCGCTGCTCCCGGTCCCCTTCCTTTTATTTTCACGTTGCGACTTGCACAAGAATTCCCAGCCTGGCTGGGGGCCTGGAAATGGGATCAAGTAACAAATCCCTCCCCGCTGCTCCCGAATTTCCCCCCGGAACAGCCGGAATCTCCTCCCCGGCGCCTGCGTTGGGAGGCTGGACCACCGGCGGAGCCCCAGGGCCACCTTCCTTGGAGGCTGCAGGGTGCAGCCCTGTTGGGGGGGGGGGGATCAAGCAGGAACCCAGACCCCTGCTCCCCTCTTGGAGCCCCCCCAGGCCTGCCCGGGCTGCTCGTCCTGGGATGCTCATTCCGGGCGGATCATGGGGGACATTGTCACTGCGGTCCCAGCCCTTGTGCCTCAGTCCCTCGGACCCATCTGCAAGGAGAGGACGAAGAGCCGATGGGGAGGAAGGCCTGGGACTGGTCCCCGTGCCCCGGGGGGGGCAGAAGGGGACACGGGGGGGGCGCCTGGCCTCACCTCCAGGGACGTCCTCACGGCCGCCAGCTTGAAGGCGACGCGGCGCCACTCCTCGGGACACACGGCCCGCAGCTCCTCGGGGCTCATGTGCAGCAGCTGGTGGCCGGAGAGCACCCCGAGGCACTTCACTGTCCTGGGGGGACACGGAGGGACACCCCAAAGGACACCCGGTAAGAGCCTGAGCTCGGCCAGGCGCGGGGGCGGCCCCCGCTCGTGGCTGACCCCGCGTGGGACGGGGAGAAGGGGCGCGGGGGGGTGCCGGGGACCCCGGGAAGGCGCTGGGGACGACGTACAGGCGCGAGAAGCCCTTGTCCTGCAGCCACGCTGCCACCTCCGCCGGCGGGGAGCCGGGGTGCAGGACGGGGGGGCTGCCCTGCGGGAACAAGAAGGTCCAGGGAGCCCCGAGGGCTTGGGGGGGTCCGGCTGTGCCGGACACCCCCTCGTGCTCCCGCGGCACGAGGAACCCACCTGGTTCACGGTGTCCTGCGCCCTGTGTCCCAGCCCCGGCGGCTGCAGGATGCTGCTGGGGACGTAGCCCTTGTCCCCGTGGCTGTTCTGCACCAGCCACCACCTCTTGCGCTGGTCCAGCACCTAGGGCGTGTGGTGGCACCGGGGACACCCATGTGTCCCCGGTGCCTTGTTTGTCACCCCGCTCTGGGGTCCCGGCGGCGCCGTCCCCTGGGTGACGGTACCTGCAGCACGTCCCCTCTCCGCACCGTCAGCTCCTGCGCGTTCCTGCCCTGGAACTCGTCCTGCGCCCGCACCAGCTCCCGGGGGACAACGGGGGGGCTGCAGGGCACGGAACAGCGCTGAGCTCGTCCCCGCAATGTCCCCGCGTTGTCCCCACGTCCCTCCCCACGTGCCGGTTCCTGCAGCTCCCTTGGGTGTCCGCGGAGCACTTACCCCTGCGTGGGGCTGTCCCTGTGGCTGGGGGCCGGTGCCTGCAAGGGGGACCCGCAGTCAGAGCACGGGGGGGCACCGGGCAGCGCGTCCCCTCCATGGCACCAGCGCTTACCCGCTCATCGGGCAGGGGGGGCCCCGGCGGCAGCAGCATCCGCGGTGGCAGCCACCCATCGGAGAAGACTGGGATGTAAGCGGGCACCCTGTGGCCCTCCGGGTGCTCGTCCCTGCCGGGGCGGGAAGCAGGGCGCTTATTCCAGCTTTTTTTTTTTTTTTTCTCTTCCCTGCCCTTCCCCGCCGGAGTGCCGCCCAACGCACCGGGTCTTGGTCCAGGCCGGGCCCAGGCCGTGCCAGGTGTCGCGGTGCTGCCCGCGCAGCGTCGCCTCCAGCAGCGCCACGGCCGCCGGGATGAGCAGCGGGCTCTGCACCGAGGCCGCCAGCTCCCCGTGCGGACAGTGGCCCAGGACCTGCTCGGGAGGTGGCGGTGGGACAAGAGGGGTCCCAAGGGCCCCCTGTCCGTCCCCGCCGTGCYCCAAACTGAACTCACGAAGGTCAAGGCCTCGAAGAGGGAGGGCAGCAGCTCGGCGCTGCTCGGGCGCTCCAGGCTCCAGCGGAGTTTTCCCTACGGGAAGCACCCGAGGACGGGTTGGGGGGAGGTGACTCTGCCCCCCAGGACCCCCCACCCCCAGTGTCTCTGCGGAGCCCCCTCCTCCTGCTATCACCCCCCCATCCCACCACCATCGGGATGCTCCATGCGGAGCCGGTGCCACCGGGATGCAGAGATGCGGGTGAGGTGTCTGGGGGAAGGGACACAAAGGGACGAGAGCCCCCCAGGACCCGTCAGCACYGCCGGCACCTACCAGGAGGTTGAAGGCGTATTTCATCTTCTGGAAGAAGTCCCTGTAAGCAGCCTCGGGTGGGAAAACTGCAAGGGCCGAGAAAGGGAGGTGGCAGCAGGGGGTCGCACCTGGCCGCCTCGTGTGTCCTCCCTGCTTGGCCAGCCTTTTTTCTTACTTTTCCCCTTGTTTTTCCTCTTCCAGAGGTTCTTGGTGCTGGCCTTGCCCACGGCTGCCCGCAGCTGCTGCACGAAGAGCTCCAGGTCGCCAAGCACGTGGTTGAGGACGTCCTGGGGGCCGGGCAGCGTGAGCGCGGCGGGGACACGGGGGGGACATGGGG